TTAGGTTGGCAAAATGCAGTCACTTAACTGGAGCTGTGACAAGACTCCTAGGTTAGCATGCTGAGCTGGACTGGAGGATCGTATTTCCCACATGGAACTGGCATGTCAGTCAACACTTTGAGACATAAGCCTCTGCGTTCAGCGCTCAGCTCTGCTATCAGGAATAAATCCATAATGATGACGTTGCCAGGTCCAAGAAGAAGGCTTGCCTGCGTCGGCATCCCAGTACCAGCAGGTCTGGTCCCTTTGCAAACGTGTCCATCGGAAAGATAAAGTGAGCATGGAGGATGGTGTAAATCATATTCCTTTTACACCCACCCCTAGGGCTAACTGGCTGCTTTAGGCCAGTTTATACTCTTACTATACTTACAATTGATTCAACAGAGGGGTAGCTCTCTTTGGCAGTCCTTGATTCTGATATAATTTTGATATAAGCAGCAAGACAGGCAGACGGGATGTTGCAACTGTCATCCCATCACAACAGGCACATTCCTGTTCTACCCAGGGCAGCTAGAGAAGGGCAAATGAGCTCTACTCTCCAAAAGTCTCGGTAGTAAAGCAGCCAGCAGATAATAAACCATGAGACTAAGTGTTGGAGTTTGCTTTTCTCATAAAAAACAGATTTTATAAGTTATTAAGAATTGGATATTTCACATACTTTGTTCAGAGAAAGTTCAACAAAAAGAAAAACACAGAAAGGACTGAAAGAAGATCTAAGTTTTGAAAAGACCTGAACAGGACTGAAAAAAAAAAAATCCTTTAACTCTGTATCGCCCTTTCTTCTACCTAAGCTTCTTAGAACTTCATTTGAATGCCTAACAATGATGGATTTCTAACAAAAGCTGCGGGTTCAGCGGGCTGCTTTTCATTTATGCTGTCTCCCCCTAATGATTTGGTTCTGCTAACTTTTCTCAGGCATCTGTTGCCGTGAGGGAGGAAAAGACTTATGAAGCCAGGGATATCAGAACTTCAGTGAAATGGCAGGTGATGGAACTTTGTTCTTGTCAGGCCCCCATCAAACGTTAAACACCTTCCCCTTCGCTCACTGATCTCCTCAAGTGCTGCACGTGGCTGAGATTAAAGCCATTTCCCTGGATTAATGTGCCCCGCACACAGCGTTGCACAAAGGACTTAACCAAAGAACAATTAAAAGCGCCTGGCCATTATCCCCCACATTCAAAATTTTTCAGAACAAAACAAATGAGAGCAAGTAAGAGCAAAGAGAACCACTCAATTACATTTCTGAGTGAGCAGAGGAACTCCAGCTGGTATGTAGCAATCAGGAACTGTAATGATTGTTGTTACCTACTTGCAGGAATGCAGAGAAAGAAAAAAGGTAGAAATGCATCTGTTACCAACTAACTTTCTGGGCATTGATCAAATATTCTGGGTGAAGGAGCTGATAGATTAGTTCGGAAGGATCGGAAATTTGAGAATGGAAGTCTAAAGGTTTCTGCTTACTCTAGTGATCACTGTGAAATACAAGACTGGAACGGGGAAGTGGAAACTCCTTGTTTTCATACCTAACCTTGACATGTCATCTTTATTCATCGAGTAGTTTTATTGGTAAATGCTCCACTGTTTAAGAATACAAGCAGTGCACCTTCTATAAACAGATTATGCCTGGGGACAGCGGCAAATTTGCTCACTCCTGCAACATGGAATTTCACATGCAAGACAGACAGCAATATCATGCTTATTTGGGCCCGACAGGAAACATATCCTGGTAAATATTAGCTAAGATGTAGCTGGGTTACCTTTGCTGATTTAAACTGAAAGGACTTTAAGTGCTGTATTATATAACTCCCTTTATATAATCTCCTCTAGACAGCCTGTAATATACTCGCAGCTTACTTATACAGGAGGGAATTTTTCTCCTGCTGAAGCAAATCAACACATTTCAGTTGCGTGTGGGAGCAAGAAAGATTTGTTGAAGGGAGAATTCCTTTGTCATCCTGCCTGAGGGGTGTAATTCTGCCTCTTTAATCTACTTGGGGGTAGTTTAAGCAAGGGCTTGTAAAACAACCTCTGAAGAGAGCATGTAAGATTTAAAGAGAAGAATGGTAAAGTTGGGGATCTGTTTTCAAGGTTACGGCCTGATGACCGTGCTGATTAACTCAATCTCATCTCTTCTGTGATTATTATCTGTTGAACTGTATGGCCAGATCCTTGGTCAAATTTCCAAAAGTTTCCAGTGAAGGCTGAATCAGCCCAACCTGAGTTGTGGTAGTAACTTATCACAACCCCTAGCATGAGAAGATTAGAGCCCAGAATTCTTCAGGTTTCTCCCCTTCACATCTACTCACTAGGATTAGGAGCACGTCTGCTGTAGCGCACCTACCCCAAAGGCACGTGCGTGCAGTTTACGATGGACAGGGTGAGGCATCTCATACCTTGTTCTGGTCATAACAGTCAGTGTTCACATTATTGCAGAAAAAGACAAAAGGAATGTCAACAACAAGCTGCATGTTTTTGCACAATAGGGGTGTTAAAAGTTAAAAAGGAGAAAATTTCTTTGATAATGTGTTGCACATTATATTTTTGCCCAAACTATGCATTAACACGAACGTATTAAAAGTGCGTCAGGAAAATAAAATGGGGATTGTTTAGAAAGTGACCTCACTCCCCCTTTCCTCAGATATGTGCTTAAAGTTTAACCTTTGTCAGCTACACTCGCAACCAATAAATTCAACAGCAAAAGTTTAAAACAGTGAAAAGCTACATTATAACAAAAGTGACCTTCATTTTTTTCATCCTAATTTTAATGAGCAGAAGAGAAAGGTGATTTCAGTCTAGGTGCAGAAAGACGACAGCTCTGGGAGACAAATTCATTCTCAGGGCTGCTGATACAAACAAGGACATTAAATAATAGAATTTACTTCTGGCTTTACGAAATGTAATTAATTTGTACTTAGACTCCATCACTGATAATTTAATATTTTCCCTTTGCTACTGATTACTATATCTAAAGGTTTTTTCTGGCCCCTGTGACTATGTCTAATGGAAGGATTTCTGTTTCAGCCAACTAAAACATTAGGCTGCTTCTCTAAGTTAATCGAGATGCCTATGGAGTAAAGGCAAGACTTCACCCAACAGCAATTTGTTCCTTCAGAAAGTGAATGCGGTGACAAGTGGACCCTCAGAGGGTGCATATGGTGCCTTTAGTGTCAGCCGGGAGTCAGCTGTACAACGGGCACAGGCAATTGCCTAACATGTAGATGGCTGACGTTAAATGAGACAAATTTCATACTAAATAACTCACATCGGTATATCTAATCCACTACATGCCTTTGGATTATCCCCATTTTGGATATATGAAATCAGGGTTTAAGGGAGCTAAACAAGTCTTGCCACAGATATTTAAGCACATTACTCCCCCCTGAATTTGAGGGAAATTTGAGCCCAAGCATTTTGCTCCGAGCCAAAAAGGAAGCCAGTGATATGATGCAGGGTTTCAGGTAAGTATTGTAGCATCTTTAGCTTGTCTCTGAAAAATAATTCCTAAGGGTTGTTTTAGTGAAACCTATTGGGAAGGGTAATGCAGCAGGAAAGTAACAGCAACCATTACAAAGCCCCCAGCATCTCCTGATCCGAGATGCACTCTTCAGGTCCGGATCCTTCTAAAGAAAACATCTTCCATAGCAGCTGCAGGTCCCCAAAACTTTCAGGTCTCTGTGTGGCAGGGGACACACTACATCCTTAGAGACACAGTAAACTCAGAACATCCTTCGTGGGAGTCAGCAGTGAGAATATTTCCCCCTCAAGTTCTTAATTTATTTCAGTCGGTTTTAAGTTGAAGCATTTTGCCCCCAAGAAATACCATTACAGTACACAGTTAAATTCTGCTACATGAGAAGAATTTTGTTTAACAAAGGCTAAATAGGCACACAAGGGTAGGCTTTCAGGGTGGGTTAGCACTGTGCACTAATCAAACATCCTCTCTGGCAAGGAAACACATTTTATGCTTGAAGGGCGATCCACTCTGAAATCAATTATTTCTAAGAACATTCCTAGGTTTTGGGTCAAAATCTGACCCCAAATCTGTCTATGAACATAACAGGCAGTCTCCAACTCTATAGTGGATCAACCTCTCCTCACACCCACATGTCTGAAAAACTTCAAGACTGGGAACTTTCCAAATGTAGGTTAATCCAAATTCCAGCCTGAACACATCTGTAGTGTTGTCTCCATCAATGACTCTTATTCCCCGGGTCTCTTTTTAACATGACCAATCATAAAGGACAAAATTAACAGGGACACAGAGCTACACTTTCTTTTAAGAATGGAATTCAGAATCTGATCCTTTGGTCTCAGCATTACCTTTGCGGTGAGTAAACATCCAATTCTCCTGCTGCTGAAATTTAATCTTTTCTTTTATTCTCACCCAAGAGTCCTTATCTGAGATGCTTTTGTGATTCCAGAGTTTGACATTCACACCTTCAATCCCAATCTATAAGCATGCTAGAAGTAACTGCATATCTGGCTTAATTATGCCTTCTGCATCTACTCTTATTTCTTCCTAAATTCACTATCCACATTGCATCCAGGGTCTCCTGATGTCCATGTACACACACACACACACACACGCACATTCATAGATAGGCTCCACTTCATCTTCTAAAAGGCAGAAAGATCTCCTCAAACCCCAGCCACTCCCCACCAGTTTTTCCAACGTATGATATGTCCACGATGAAGTTACCTGCTCCTCTATGCCTCCACTTACTCAGCTGAACAGAGGACAGTATTAACAGCCGACCCATTTGAAGTTTACTGAGCAAGCCAAAATGATTATTTTTTTTCTGAAATGCTCCTTAGGCAAGAAACTGTTAGCTTCCTCATGTACTTACTGGAACTTTTCCCCACCAGCTGAGGGAAAATATGCAAATTATATAACTTTTTCCTAAACAAGTGTCTTGAGACTTCATCAGAATTTACTTGTCACCTGCAGGTATAAATAAAACCTGCATTACCCATAATGTTTATTATTTCTTACTCTCCAGAACATTATCAGCAGAGGGAATGTTCAACTACCTCCGGAAACGCTTTACCAGCCACATCAGAGAACGCAGCCGGCGAAGAGCAAGGCTTGTCTCTAAGGATGGGAGGTGTAACATAGAGTTTGGCAATGTAGAACAGTCAAGGTTTGTCTTTTTGATCGACATATGGACAACTATCCTGGATCTCAGATGGAGATACAAAATGACTATCTTCATTTCAGCATTCTTAGGCAGCTGGTTTCTATTTGGTCTCCTCTGGTACGTTGTGGCATACATACACAAAGATCTCCCAGAATTCAATCCTTCCATAAATCACACCCCCTGTGTTGAGAATATCAATGGCCTGACTTCAGCTTTCCTGTTCTCCTTGGAGACCCAGGTAACCATCGGTTATGGCTTCAGATGTGTCACAGAACAATGTGCCACTGCCATTTTCCTGCTCATCTTCCAGTCTATCTTGGGGGTAATCATCAATTCTTTCATGTGTGGTGCCATCTTGGCCAAGATATCGAGGTCCAAAAACCGGGCTAAGACCATCACCTTCAGCAAGAATGCTGTCATCAGCAAACGTGGGGGGAAGCTCTGCCTCCTTATTCGGGTGGCAAACCTCAGGAAGAGCCTGCTGATAGGGAGTCACATCTACGGAAAACTTCTGAAGACCACCATTACCCCAGAAGGAGAGACAATCATTTTGGACCAGGTCAACATAGAATTTCTAGTCGACGCTGGTAATGAGAATCTCTTCTTCATTTCCCCATTAACTATTTATCATATCATAGATAGGAACAGCCCGTTCTTCCACATGGCAGCAGAAACCATTCTGCAGCAAGATTTTGAGCTGGTGGTGTTTTTAGACGGCACTGTGGAAGCCACTAGCGCTACCTGTCAAGTGAGGACATCCTACATCCCAGAAGAGGTGCTCTGGGGTTATCGCTTTGCTCCCATTGTGTCCAAGACCAAAGAAGGGAAGTACAGAGTAGATTTCCAGAACTTCAGCAAAACTGTGGCTGTGGAGACTCCCCACTGTGCCTTCTGTCTCTACAATGAGAAAGAAGCTAAAACCAAAGAGAAGAAAGGTTATGACAATCCTGGTTTTGTCTTGTCGGAAGTTAGTGAAACCAGTGACACAAAAATGTAGTTCCAGATATTCATGGGACTGTATCTTTTTTCAGAATTAATTCAATCTTGAGAGGATTAATAACTTAGTAAAACAAAGAAGAAACACAGGTTTGGTTTTACTCTAAAACAGCATTTACCTTCTCAAAAGCCTCCAATCAAAGAGGAACAGAATACCAGTGATCTCCAGAACACTATTTAACTACTCTATATATATTTCATAAAATTTATATTTTTGTACCTATGGGACATTTTATGAAGCTGCTATGTTGGAATGTCCAACTGACGTTCCCAGAGGCATGCAAGTCTGTTAAAAAGCCTGAAAAGATGGAGAGAAACATTAAGACATGTTAAAGATACACAGCTGTTGGAATAAGAACATGAAAAGGGAAGACAGAAAGCAAAGCTAAAGAAACCTAAGTGACTTAGGAGCCAAAGCCTCAAAAAAATGTATGTTTCTGGTTGCCAAAGTCCTCTATGAAAGCAGACTCTGGATCTGGAACACTCGAGAACATTTTGAAACAACTCCTTTCTTTTGGGCTGGTCCATCTACAGGAACGGAGCATTTAGGGGTGGTACCTGCTCAGGAAAGCAGAAAAGACAAAGCTTGGGCCATTCTGCAGCATCTAGAACTCTGGGAAATACCACTTCTCTCCTGTGAAAGCCTTTCATTGGTTTCAGGGAAAAAAAGCCAAATGGAAAAGAAAAGTGAAAAAAAAAAAAAAAAGAAGAGGAGAAGCAGAGATCCACCATGGGAGAAGAATAATCTTGCAGCTGTTTTACCCTTCAGATACTCTTCTCTCCACTTCCCCAGGAGCTGGCTAACTGAAATTCAGAAACATTTGAAGACAAGTGTCTAGAAAGCTGGTGAGCCACAGTAGTGAGTCTTAACACATCAACTGCTTCACACCTGGCAGAAAAGAAATCCACTGCGGGAAGAGAGGAAATTCCCAGCTCTAGAAGTATTCTTAAAAAAAATCCACAGGGCAAACAGAGATTATCTCTTCCTTTGAAGCACGAAGGTCTTGTTAAAACAAAAACACAGTACAGAAGCCTCCACCAACAGTGGGCTTCAGACTGAGTTCCAAACCGTTCATCTCACCACAGCAAAATGTGCATCCCTACAGGAAACAAGTTCTGCTCGGTAGTAGCTAAGTAGTGGTGAGCATCTTCCGCGTAGAATTTTTGACATTTAAGTTTCAGATGCAACGAGAAACTTCGATAACTTTTTGGTGAATTTCCACTTCCTTACAGACTTTTTTTCCCCTCAACCAGTTCTTCTGCTGAGAGTTCAAGTGGCAGACGAAAGAGAAAGGTTTTTTAGGACCTCTTCCCAGTGATGTAATTCAGCTCATCTATTTTCTACGCTGTGGTAAAATGGAAGCAGCTTTTAAAAAGCTGCTGGACTGAGCGGTCGTAAAAGAAGGGGAGCATTAAGTAGGTCAAATGGTGACAAGACAAAGTTATTTTGCAAATGAACATAAAGTGAGTATGAAAAACAAACTCTGGGAACCAAGAGTGTTCAGGTCTCAGTCCCAGTGTAGTGTCAACTCTTTTGTTGGTTCAGAACAAATCATTTTAGTATGTATCACAGATTTACCATCCTTAACACGGGACAAAGTATTTACACTGTACAAAGAGCAATGTTAAGAACAATGATGTCACTAAAGCACTTTAAAAGCCATTTTCAATGGTCTCAATCTTTCTTCAATGCACCGCTGTTACACCCTTTTCACTTCTAGATGGAAAGGTCAGCACAGAAAGTTCTGTTCTCATCACACACAGAGCTACTAAAAATGGCTGCACCATGGCTAGAACTATGGAATACTTGAACAGCCAGCCAAAACCTTCACAGATATTGCCTAATATTTTAAGTATACTCTTTTCACAACTTTGCAAAATAACACTGCCAACTGTAAAAATATTTCTACAGTCCCAATCACCACAGCATCTGAGCCCCTCCAGCCATTAGCACATCCCAGATTGTCTGCTTGGAAGGACAGTTGTTTTATCCTCCACTCTGAATGGCACCGAAGCGCAAACAGTGAGTGATTAGTGGCTATCCACAGAAATCCAGGAGGGAGCAGGGAAGTGAAATGAAGTCTCAAGAGTCTCAGGCTTGGCCTCTCCCCAAAAAGGCCATTGAATGACTCGAGCGTGGCCAGAGAAGGGCAACGGAGCTGGGGCAGGGTCTGGAGCACAGGTCTGCTGGGGAGCGGCTGGGGGAACTGGGGGGGGTTCAGTCTGGAGAAGAGGAGGCTGAGGGGAGACCTCCTGGCCCTCTGCAACTCCCTGCCAGGAGGGGGCAGAGAGGGGGGATGAGTCTCTGGAGTCAAGGAGCCAGCGCCAGGCCCCGAGGGAATGGCCTCAAGCTGCCCAGGGCAGGGTCAGGCTGGCTCTGAGGAAGGATTTCTGTGCAGAAGGGGCTGTTGGGCGTTGGAATGGGCTGCCCAGGGCAGGGGGGGAGTCCCCGGGATCCCTGGAGGGGTTGAAGAGTCGGGCTGAGCCAGTGCTGAGGGATCTGGGGGAGTTGGGAACGGTCAGGGTGAGGGTCATGGTTGGGCTGGAGGAGCTTCAAGGGCTTTTCCAACCCGGATGAGTCTGTGATTCTGTCTGAACCAAAAGGCTACTGTGCTGCTCAGTCCTTCCATAGTTTCTGCTACATTTCCTTTAGAGGCTTCCTGTACCATTACCCTGTGTGTAACTTCCCTAGAAAGCAGTACTGTCAGTGCTCGAGGCTTAAAAGTTATATCTCTTGCCCCTGGGAGAAAAGATGCACCAAGATGCATAATAGAAGTAGAGAGTCTTCACCGCAGAAAAAAAAAAAAAAAAAGCAAGTCAGTAGAAAATCCATTTAAAAGGGTCAAACTCAGCTATGCAATGAGGAGACAGGAAAGATTCTTATTTTCTTTAAGTAAAGCTGGTTTGGGATGTCAGTGCTAGCAGGGGGAGAGAATAATCAAATACTACTCCAGTGCCTATCCCAGAGCTGGTATAAATCCTCTAAAGTCTGAAGGGTCCCTAAACAATGCCTTTTCAGGCACCGCCCTTGGAGAGCCTCCTCAAAATCCAACACCTCTGAAGTTCTGCATGAACCAGCTTTTTAACCTCCTGCCCTGTCTCTGCAGCACAGGTGTGAGGAGGCATTATGCCACGTCTAGAAGCATTAAGTGCTACCACAACTCAAACAGAAGGCATTTGATCTCACTGAAGGGATTATTACTTCTTGTTCCCAGTATTCTGGCAGTTCCACCTGCCTCAAAAGCTAGCTGCAGTAAGGGAAGGGTGACTGCATCCTGCCGCACATTTTGGTATTAGAGAGGGGGGACTGGCTACTGCATGAACAGAAGGAATGAGGGGGGCACGGGTTGACAGGGCCATGGCTGAGCTACCAAGCTTAGAGGGGGATCATACCAGGACCTAAATGGGAATCTCGGACCAAAACCGTGAGCCTCCTGCTGATTGTCACTTCAGGAAACGCCTGGCAGCCCCCACCTGCCAGTCCCCCCCCCCCCGCAGGAGATAGAGCAGTGCAGTCAGAGCCCAGCAGCAGGAGAACAATGAGTGGAATTTCCTCTTTCTGTCCAGAGAGGGCTGTTTGTCACCAGAAAGATAAAGGCCCAGGGCAGGGAAAGAGGGTTATCGGGAGACACGCCGCACACAGTGCCACTCAGGACAGACTCCATAGGAAATCTATTTTGGGGGCTGTCACCCCTACTGCCATTAAAAGAAAGTTCAGTTAAGAGGATGAAAATAAATTTAATCTTGCTGAGCAGAAGTGGCTGGAGGGAACCACAGACCCGATACTGGAAAACAAAGGCCAGTTTCTTTACCCGTGACACTGTTTCATTTTTACATCTCCACAGCGCTCTTGTCGAGCCTTACGGTTCTCTTCTCCCTGTCTGTCTGTCCATCCAGGCTGCAGGCTGCCCAGGCTTGTTGCAGCCACGATTAGTCCTTTCCACAAAGTAGAACATGCAGCAGAGGCCAACAGCCTAGCCAATCCAAGGCGAAGCACTGAAGACAAAGTCCTGTCTCTTCAGGAGAAGAAATCAGACCACGTAGTTATTGCTGGATTAAGGCCGAAAAGATTTCACTGTGAAAGTGTTAGCCAGGCAGCTAGGCTTGGGAATAATGTGTCTGCACTAAACTTAATTTATCTTCTCATTTCACAAACAACATGTTTCTTCTACTGTATTTATTTTAAACATTCATTCAAGCTGTGCATAATATTTCAATCATTTTGAAATAGATTTACCCTCCTGCTAGCAAATGAATAAGGCATCCTGCTGACTGCTGGAGAAAGGGCCATGAATTAAAATAACTGCTTTTAGTAAACTGACATGTGCTAGTTAGCTGTCTCCACACCCTCTTTGGTACTAACTGGTGAAAAGAGACCCATAAATAATAAAAATAAAAACCCCAAACCCTGGCAAACTGTTTAGATACTCATAGTGACTTGCATTGTTGGAATGTGGCAGACCACTGCTAACTAGCTCCCAGCAACTGCCTGGATAACTTCTGCATGTACACGCTTCTTGTAAACTCAACTACTCACCCATAAACAAGCCAGCAGTGTGCAAAGCCCAGACACCAGTGAGAGCAGCTGAGGTGTCACATCCTCTTTCCTCTCCCCAGGCAGCAAACTGATGTGGTTAGACTCATCCGAGTTCAGCTGGGAAGAGCCTTTATTTCCCCTTCCCTTTCATTTTTGCCCCCTTCAATTCACCCCCGCTTTGAACTGTCACGGTGCTGGCCCTATTCCTGTTCCCCACACAGGCAGGGAGAAACCACAGCCCAAGGCAAGGAATGAGAGCAGAGCCACCGCAGGGACGGGGGAAGCTGAGCAAGTTCCTAAACCCTCTGGTGAATCTGTGCTTCTTGCCGCAGCCTGGGGAACCTCCAGACAGCACCATCACCGGCCCTAAATCACAGATACAAGAGTGAAGAAGGCTAAAGCTCTCTCTCCGTGCTGCTAGAATACACAATGTGTTTTCCTGAGGCCAAGCTGACATTCCTGTG